AAAGCTTCAACTGGGAAATTTTACCTCATCCACCATATTTGCCAGATATTGCTCCCAGTGATTATCATCTTTTTCAGAGTTTGCAGAATTTTTTAAAAGGAAAAACTATTGAGGTTGAGAACAATGTAAAAAAGGCTATTTCTGAATATTTTGATTCAAAACCGAAATCATTTTACAAAGACGGGATTAAAAAGCTACCATCAAGATGGCAAGAAATTGTACAAAATAATGGTGAATACATTATAGATTGAAATAAAATTTAATTAATATTTTTTGTTGCTTTTTTTGTAGATAAAAATGCGCAAGAACTTATGGACTGACCTGATAGAATAATAACTGATAATAAAAATGTAGTTTTATTTGCACTTTACCTTTGAGGATAGACGATGGTGGAGGTGTAAACTGGTGGCAGAAGAGAGGGAGAAGGGGAATGATACTAAAACTTAACTTACATAACATAATGTAACAATAACTTAAAAATAACTTAACACTAATTTTTTTTATCTTTTCTGTTTCATATATATTTTAAAATCTTTTATTCACTGCTTTTTGCTTTCTTTCCTTCACTTTCACCAGCACTTTCACTGGATAGAGGTTGCTTGGTAAAATATCTATCCAAAGAGGTTTGGCTTTGCCTACTTTTTAAAATGTTTCTAAAATGACTTAGGCAAATGTCATTAAACTGAGCAGCAATATGGCCAGTGTGAACCTTTTTGGGATGTTCCTTTTCAATAAAATCAGTCAATTTCTGATAATACCTCAAGATTTCCTTTATCGAGTGAGATCCTTTCACAACAAAGCAAACACGCGGACTAAAACCAATCATGGCGGTGGTGCTGCAAACTAATGTAATGTTGTATGGTGAGTTTTTATTCGTAACTTGGAGCAAAAATATGTTTGAATTTCATGTCATATCCTGAAAATTTCGTATGCTGAAGCATTCGTATCCTGAGGTACTACTGTACTGTATTATGGTTTTAATGATAATAGAAATATTCATTCAAACAATATATTTACCAAATATGATTCAACAAATGTTTTCTTTTCTGTTGGAATCTTCTTTGCATCCTGCAATTAAATAAAACTTATTTAATTATCTGTGGTAAAGATAACTATACACAAAATATATCATTTACAACTCATTTTTTCATAAAATAAAAAGATTATAAATATAAATGGCATCTTTATTAATCAGTTAATGATAAAAATTTTATAAAACTACAATTTCTTTCTTTGAAATTTTTTCAAAACATTGCTTTCCTATGGTTATTAATTAAAATAATATAAGAAAGCTTTTGTTTCTATTTATAGCCCTATTATTATTATTTACAATTAACAATTATCACTTCTGTGGAAACTGTCATTATTCCAATAAAATATATAACATTTTTGCCTTTATTTTCTGAACATTAAGAATTTTGCCCTGCTTCTTTTAAGTGTTGTAGAACTTGCATTTTACAACTCCACTTTCATAACTGAATTATTAATATTGTATTATGGCTGTAACAAATGCCATACTTTTTTATAAGTTATTACCATACAAAGATGATAAGATTCAAACTTCTATCGACAGAATGCAATTTCAATTTGCAATACTGAAATTACAGAAGACAGAATGGAATACATGACAACTGTTTTCTAGGAACCAAGTAAGTCATAAAAACAAATATTAACAACCTAATAAATTTCTCCTTTCATTATATCTTAATGAATACAATCATATTTTAATCTATTATTTTACAGTATTTACATAGTATGTAAAGATTTATGCCATTTTTATGTTTACAGTTTTGCAAGTGACAGATGAGACTGAAAATAGTTGAAAGAGTAACCAGAATTTTTTAAAAAAGTAAAAGTAATACCAAAAAGTAACCATATAGTATACAACAGGTAAATCCAATACACTTAACACCTATATAGCAGGTAACTGTTATTATTGGATTATCATATCTACAACTAAAGCTTGTATGAATGAGATAAAAATTACTTTAGTAACCATTTTAGACATCATACCATCAACAAGTTATTTAGACCATATCACTTTTTCAAGACAAATATAACAAGTCCAGATTGAGTAAGATATCCATATTTTAAAAAGAGTATAATATATATATATATATATATACAGGTAGTCCTCAGTTTACGCCGGTTCAATTTACGCCACTTCGCAATTCGCCGAAAGTATAATTCCCCGATTTTCCCTATGCTAGACTGATTTTCATTTCAGTGTTGACTTATTTACCAAGCCACAACATTGTACATTCGTTAAAACAAAGATTTTTATTGAATATATTTATTTTTTCTGTTTAATATTTTTAGATATGTATACATTTGCATTAAATTAATATTAAAATACTAAACGTTTAGGTACCCACGAGTCAAGATATTAAACTTAATAGTCCAATAAATGGCGTCCGAATCCATAGCGCCAATGAATGTATCCACGTATCAGTTCATTCAGGAAACACCTTACGACGCAATAGCACTTCCGGTGAACACAAATTACCGTTAATGAGACAAATCTACTTCTCATTGGCCAGACGATATTTATCTCTCCTTAGCCAGCTTGAATTTTCCCACTCAAACTGACCTTATATATGCGCTACGGCAACCGGTGGTCGACCAATCAGTGTCTCCACTCGTCTGTAGCTCTATGTCGGGTTAACGTATCCTTTCAACTATGGAAAGTTTGATGGATGAACTTTGTGAGTTAGACAATGATTGGGAGCGAAGTGCGAATGTAAAAAGGAGCATCATATTCTACCATATTCCGAAATTCTTAATGAAAGAAATCAAAAATATAAACAATTAAAGATGGATACTTTTCCGAAAAATGTAAGAAATTGAAAACTAAAATTTTTAAATAAAAACATTTTACTTTATTTTATGATAAAATACATTTTAAAAATTAAAAATTTATATGTATTTTGTATTATATTGTATTAATATACAAAATTATTAGCTTATTTTTCACTTATGTAGAACCTAACCCTATACCTCACTGTAAATATGGGTTCGTTTTACGTTGATTCGATTTGTGCCGGCTTTTGTAGGAACGGAACTGCGGCGTAAACCGAGGGCTATCTGTATATATATATATATATATATTCTCTTTTATATATATTTGTTCACATTTTTTTTCACATTCTCTTGAAGAAATTTGTTATGAAATTTCCTCTCTCTTCAATGTTCTTCTGTAGCTGAGCTGTTTGTTTACTTTTGGCTTTGTCTCCTTCTTAAATACTTATGCCATGTAGTTTTTTTCCCCTATTTCAATAATAATGCATATTTTAATCTACATTTTCATACTGAATATGCACTTAATTGTTAAGAGACAAACAGGAACAAAAAGTAACCTAATACTGAAAATAGCAAAGAAATACTAACTGGAAATAAAGAAGTAGCCCACTTGTAGCCCTGTGTTTATATATTCATACTTTTATGTAACTTTTAACATAAACCATTTTAAATGGAAATTCTATTTAAAATAATCTTTCTCATTTATGATATTCTAAACATTTATACTTCTTATCAAATAGCACATTATTTTAAAATCTCAAAACTAATTTTATTTAATCTTCAAGACATCATTAAAACTGAAATAGTTTAAACATGACTTACCACTAAAGGAGTGGACATCTTTTCTAAAGATAATAAAATTCGTTTAGCCGTTGTACTCATGTAGTCAAAATCTTTTTTTGACGAAGCATCGTTCACTTTCAATTTAGTATTTGAGGCATTTGTGTCCTATAAAAGAAAAAAATCAATTTATTACACCAAGACTTCAACTGGAAAGAAATATGTAAAGAAATATTTTTCAAAATATATTTATAGAAAAACAGATTCTCTTAACACATTAAATTTGGAGATATATCTGACTTTGTGATAATGCAGATATTTATTTTAGCATTGTCTTATTTTTTGTATGACACAATGCAATATTTTCACAGTTCTCATTTATTCAATTTTGATTGTGTAGTAAAACATATACTGCAGTTTAGCCTACCAATAATGCATTATATCTTAATATAGCCTAGCAGAACATATTGAAAAGTTGATTAAGAGTAAAATTGTTTTCTTATGTTAATTTTAAACACTTAAAGATTAAACTTTTTCCCTTGGTTTTGTTGAAAAATAAAGTTTTATTTGAATTTTTTTGAAAAAATGTGGCATTTTACTGTATCGTTTTTATATTAAAAATTTAATTTAGAATCTTAAAAAGAGTCTGCTAATTTTAAATTTTGAAAATTGCTGATATAAGAAATATTTTATTTTAATAAACATAAAAATTAAATTATAATCTTATGTCATCAGTAAGAAAATAATGAACAGACTACAAATAATTATAATCACTAAAAGTTGGCAAATAAGTTGCTCTTTATGTAATAAGTAAAAAAAACAGTTTCAATTCACACACTAACTTCTTTCAATGTATGATGCTTAAAGACAATTAAAGTTAGCATTTTATTAAATTATAATTTATTATAGTAGTAAATATTTAACAGATCTTTATTCACAATACCAACTTTATTCATCGACAATTCTAATCAAAATTATTTCAATAATAATTTAACAGTGATCTTTAAATATATTAATTAAGTACTACTGCTGGATGCTCAATTATCATTACTTGTATACAGAAATGACATTTAACACAAAATTTTATGAGAGTATATTAGAAAATACTGTCTTTTTATATTTATAACTTTCCTCTTAAAATAATTTTTTCGTGCTTGTATGACTAACTATCTCTAACTAAGCCAATCTATGCTTAAGTGAAGAATTTATCTATTTAAACAAAATTTTTATGAAAATTGTCAATGTTTAATTATGTTTCCAGCAAAAAATTAATGTATCAGTAACAGCATAACAAAGGCATATTGTTCATCCTAGATACTAAGAATACTTAGAAATGATCATCAGTTTTAAATCTGATGATCATTTCTAAGAGTAAGCTATTTTATTATTACTTTTTCACTTTTATAAATTCAATGGTTAAAAATAAAATCTAAAATTTTGTCTTAAGTAAAAAATTTTTCTCTAATTTCTGATGGTCTAAATTTATTATCTGACCAAAAAGAGAATTGATAATGTGAGATTAGCTGGGGGTACCTTTCCACTAGGATTGTTAGTACCACTTAATTGGCGCAGATTTGAAACAATCTGTTCTCGGAGTTTCGGATCGTCCTTAGTTAGGAGTACGTTGGAAGATCTCTTAGATCTTCCGACGTACTCCTAACTAAGGATGTTGGCCTTAGGGAGACAATATGGGAACTTCTTTCCAATATGAGATTCCCCAATGTACTCCTCGAATCATGCCGATCTTTGACTATATCTCATGATCCGTGACCAATCAGCATATTTGGATTCTCTCATGTGAACGGATGAAGTGGGGAATTATTGAGGGGTTGACAATTCCCATGGTGGTGAGATTTGTGTTAGATAAGTGGAAAAACAAACAATGCTTCAACTTCCGTTAAAGGAAGTGGCTCTTTTATCAGTTTTCCCACGTTAGAAAAACAATATTTTCACACCAAAACGAAATAATATTTTACTTCATAAATTTAATTTTATATTTAAATTGTTAATTAGACCCAGGGACTATTCGGATCTCACAATAATGACAATGCATTTATCATTAAATTGTTAACGAAAAAGTCAAATGTTGGCTAAACAGTCAATTTTTTTTTATTAATTCATAATATTTTCTTTGTTTTTCTTAATAATCCTCTCTATTAAATAAGAAAACATGTATGTAGATGTATACATTCTTTTAATTGGGCTACAATTTTCAAATTCAGACCTACACATTCCCACTATCATCTATTTGTCTGTCATTTGTTAATCTCAAGAATGGAATTAGATAGATGAAAATCGAAAATCTTAGAGACTGGAGGTCCTGAGTGACTATATACAAACTTCCATCCTGAGGTAAAACTTTGTGATTTTTTTGAATTAAAAAAGATAAAAAATTGCAGCATGGCATTGTATCAATATCACAATAAATAATTGCTCATTTTTCTTTCATTATTTTCAATATCTAACACTAAAATTCCTTATTTTCATCACTAAAATATAATGGAAAGAAATGCAGAAGTCCTTTTTTGTTCTCTAATATTTTCCTATATATTCTATACTTACATAAATTTATGTTTTCTACATTTATATAATTAAAAACATATTTTACAATAACTGAAGATTATTTCCAATTATTAAATATACCTTGTTAGAAAAATCCTTAAAATTATTACATACACATACAATAGAATTATTGTAATTATTCTGAAACCTAGCTCTATTGATAACTGATTGAACATTATAGATATTGTTACTTAACCACTTAATCAGTAGAAATTTTAATTTTACTGACTCTGATATTAAAATAATTCATTAAAAAAATTTAAAATATTTAATTTAAAGAACTACTAATTATAATTACTATTATTAATTACTCATAATTCAATCCAATGCTTGCAGTACAGTGGTTTAAATTATTGGCATTTCTTACCTCAATTATAAATTATTATTATTAAAACTAACACTGCCAAAATAAAAAAAAATTTAAAAACAGCATGGAAATCATGCCGTTTTTTTAATTTTTTTAAGCAATAAAATCAGGTTAAGAATGATAGCAATTGTGTGTTATGAGCCACATGTTGAGGCAAACAGAGCAAAAATGACAACTTTTTACCTGTTCTGGGACTTGCCAATTAATTCTGATGGCATTAGACAAGTGATAACAATATCTATGATAAAAAATAAATGAATTCTACTGTATGTGTAAAAATTCCAATTACAAAATTAGAAACATTTTATATTTGAAGTAAAATCTTACAGGACATGATATTGATGATAATATATGTGATCTGTTCATAGCAGATGCTCCGCCAAATGTTGTTTTACCCTCATAAAATGGTGAATGACAACAGTTTCCTCCTGAATGAGATACTTCACCCTAATAATAAAAATTATACATATTATTATTATTATTTCTGTAAGAAAATTTATTTAAAGATTGTTTAATTAAAAACATAATAATTTTATATAACTAGCAAACACTTTTTAGAAAAATAATAGTTACAGTTATCAATTTGCCTTGTTTGCATTCTCAGTGAACTTTTAATATAAATAAACTGGCTAAAACCCTTGCATGATTTCCTCCCAACTCATAATTTACAAAGTTAAAGTTATGTGTAGCACATCTGTTATGAGATTTTATTTTAAAATAATTTTATGTTATTAATCATGTAAAAAGACAAAAGGTTTATTTTTGAGTAGGAGTGAACTTTTAAAGAAATTTCAAATGCTAATAACATCTAAAACTTTCATTAAGACTGACCCCACTTTGAAATATGACACAAAACCTTCCTTTATCTCCCTATCCCACTGACCTTTGGCATAAATTGAACTTTGAAATTAAAATTCTATTAACATATATATTCCTAACTGAAACTCTCAAAACCACATTTGTCATGTCCAAAGTTTAGGAGCATGTTCCCCATACACTATGAGTATTTCTTACTGTTTGTAACCATTATATCCTTTACGAAACTTAAAAAGCATACAAAATATGCCTGATATGCATTTTATCTGCATACATTTCAATTTGATTTACACAAACAAAATGTGAAGTTTTCAAATAAGCTTCTAAACAAAAAATAACAATATGACATTAACAGTAATGTGTTAAATTTCACAACTATTGTAACTAAACTACATATCTATATCCAAAATTACCCTCAGTACAAAAATAGCAAATTCATCAACATCTTTAAAATGCCTCAATGTCCTTGACTTACTAAAATATAAATTTTCATCTACAAGTACGTATCTTCTAATATCAGGACTTATTATACTGGCTTTACAGAAAATGCTAGAGTTTCACAGAAAACAATTTTTTATTTTATTTAATATACCTGGACACATACATAATATTGGTATGTGTCTAAGTATATTAAATAAAATAAAAAATTGTTTTCTGTGAAACTANTACAGTCGACCCCCCTATAAGATATAGATACGTTCCAATTTATTAGGAATCCGATTTCTTACAAGTCGTTCCAATCACAGCCCGACACGTGTCAAGTTTACGGACTACGGCTGATTGAAAGGTTTTCTTCCATAAAATTAATTGATTCTACACTAATCCGACTCAACATTTCCAAAATACGTATATTTTTTCGTAGTTTTATAGGAATCGTAATTATAGGGACCGTAATTATAGGGGGGTCGACTGTATATATAAATTGTAAATCAATTGCATTTAGAAAAAACAAGCACCAAAAACTTCTTTTTCTGGATAAATTAAAATTTATTTATAGATAATTCACATGCTTACACAATGTTTTTATAAGTATAAATATAATGGGCAAAAACAGTGCAATTGCAATTTATATATTATTATATTGTAATTTTGCATGATCCTATAATACAAATAGTAAAAAATTAATCTTAATCTATGCACAAAGAATAAAGTGCTATATTGGGAGGGGAGAAAAAATCACTTATATTGGTAAAACAGTTAAAATTGCTTGAAATGCATATCCTTATATAAAAGAGTACCTCTTGTTAAGTGTCATTTAAAAAAAAAAAATTTACTACATAAGTTTCATAAGTTTAATTTCATAAATAATAATAGTTTTATCTCTTACAGTACATGCAAATTTTATCTTATTTACATGAACTTTTTAAACATTCTATTAATTTTATCTGAAGAACATAAATTTAAAATATTATTTTGGTGACTATCCTTTCAAAATATCTACTTATTTATTTAATAATACAAAAATAATGTCCTTCTAAATTTTAACATATTTCTGTGTAATTTAGTCTTAATTTAGTCTGTGTAATCAGTCTTAATTTGAGCAAATCTTGTTGGCATGAACAAAAACTCCTTCTAAATGACAATTGTACTGTATGATGATTTTAAACTGAATGTATTAAATTTTTAAGAGAGATAAAATAAAGTAATAAATACCTGAGATTTTGATTTGTTAATTGCAAAATTGTTGGATGAAGAATTCATTTTTCGCCGCTGTAAATAAAAAAAAGTGTATCAATTAGCATGCCATTCAAATATAAATAACATTTTTTTTACTATTTTAAAATACAAAGATAATGCAAAATATTTTACCTAAGTAAGTTCTGAATTAAAACATCTTGAGAACTTATTAGATTTCTAATCTAATAAGTTTTCAAGATGTCATCAAACAAAATTATATAACATATATCAAATCTTGATATTATAATTCAATTATTATAATACTCACAAATTCATTTTGGTACTCTAGAATTTTATATGTAAATAATGCCTTTCTTTTAAAAAACTTTCCACCCTGTAGGCTCTAAGAGGGCATTTTTCCATACCATCACAGATTCTGCCAGGCCCACATAGGGTGGGTTTACTTTTTGCTAGCGTTCAAGCTCGCTGAGCTGACACCTAATGCAGCCTGACGTCATACTAGCACACTCATAAAAGTATACACAGTAATGGACGCTTCCATTTTTGAACAAAAACCAAGCTCGTTGTAAATTCTCCAAGCACACCAAGCATACTAGGAATGCTAGCAATGATGTCACAGGTGCGAAAAGTAAATGCTGTGCTCATTGGTAGCTAACAAAAACTATACAGGCTGAGCATGCTAGGGGCGAGATTGAAGCTAAAAGTAAACGCACCCAATATGGGCAGCAGAAGATAAAGAATGAGCCCAAACATATTTGAGCCATGAAAAATTCCTGGAGGTTTTTGCCTGCCTGAATTCAATTCTATGTCATCAGAGCCATAGGTTGACACTAACTGCCTCAGCCATCTGATTAATAATTAATAATACTCATTGATGACATTATATAATTTCTTTTAATCTTTCTGCTCATTTAATAATATACACTAAATTTTATTTATTTTCCTTTTTTTTTAACTTAGATTAAACTCATATTAAAAAATTTTCATTTTTATTATGAACTTATTTTTAACACCATGTGAAATAAGTGAATTTATATTGTATCAACTAAAACTCTCTCCTCATTCTACAATGGGACAAAGTATCTGTATCGATCATAAACATTTGATATAATTATGGTGAATCATTAACTACAAATGCATTGTTTTTATTTAAACTTTTAAATTGAATACATTTTGATTATAAAAAATTTTTATTCAGAAAATGTAACATGTTTTATTACACCACTAATTTAAAAGAAATATACAAAACTACTTTAGGAAAGCTCAGAATCAATGATTAACATTCTAGAAAAATTCTATCTTAGGCTTAAAAAAAAGGAACATGAGGCAGCAAGGTTGAGTAGGTCATCTGATCAAGCTATCTTCTTTAATATTTAGATAATAAATTGCAATGTTTATTGCAATTTATTTTTGTCTGAATTATCCAAGGGTTTGAAAATTTAAAATTAAAGCAAGTAGTCTAATGTTAATAACGACAGAAATGACAATAAAAATTTGTTAAATTTAAATTATCCATTTCAAATTAAGATACTTTTTTGTTACAAATCATTGACAATCTCTTATCATTATACGCAAGAAGTGAAATTAAATTAGAAAATGCATTACATAATGTATGTGTAAAACATCAATAAAAACAAAATTTTCTAAAATACAGTAGTACCTCAGGATACGAAATTAATCCATTCCTAAACTGAGATCATATAAAATGTTGTAAGGTGAATCATTTTCCCCATACTATTACATGTAAAACCAAATAATCCATTCCAACACGAAAAACACTCTCAAATTAAAGCTAAGTAATACATTGAAAAAAATAACTTTAGTAAGGAAAACACTGAAAAATGCATTTTGTAGTTGTAAATATATAAATAACCATAATATCAGGTCAGTTCATAAGTTCATGGGTATTTTATGATCTTGAGAAAAATCTTGTTTTGATGTTAAAAATGCCAGTCTAATGTGATACTTTTTACACTGAAGTGTTAAATTGGATCTCATTCATATAATACTGTTCAGAATTGGGAACATTTCAGTTGTTTATTTTCGTTAAAATGGAAGTAACAGATGAATATAAGAGACATGTTTTATACTTTTTATTTTTAAGTGATGAGAATGCTACAAATGCAGCCAAAAAATTAAATACTGTTCATAATCAAACTGTAATTAGTGTAAGGACTGCGCAGAAGTGGTTTGAAAGATTTAGAAATAATGATTTTAGTGTGGAGGATAAGGCTCGTACTGGAAGACCTGTTGACTTTGATGATGATGCTCTCTCTGCACTAGTTGAAGCAGAACCATCTTTAACAGTTGATGAAATTGCGGAACGTTTAAATTCATCCCATGGAACTGTTCATAGACATCTACAACAAATCGGAAAAGTTTCAAAGCTAGGAAAATGGATACCACATGAACTGTCAATAGCTAACTGACAACAACGTCAACTGCTCAACTCCAAAGCTTCAACTGGGAAATTTTACCTCATCCACCATATTTGCCAGATATTGCTCCCAGTGATTATCATCTTTTTCGGAGTTTGCAGAATTTTTTAAAAGGAAAAACTTTTGAGGATGAGAACAATGTAAAAAAGGCTATTTCTGAATATTTTGATTCAAAACCGAAATCATTTTACAAAGACGGGATTAAAAAGCTACCATCAAGATGGCAAGAAATTGTACAAAATAATGGTGAATACATTATAGATTGAAATAAAATTTAATTAATATTTTTTGTTGCTTTTTTTGTAGATAAAAATGCGCAAGAACTTATGGACTGACCTGATAGAATAATAACTGATAATAAAAATGTAGTTTTATTTGCACTTTACCTTTGAGGATAGACGATGGTGGAGGTGTAAACTGGTGGCAGAAGAGAGGGAGAAGGGGAATGATACTAAAACTTAACTTACATAACATAATGTAACAATAACTTAAAAATAACTTAACACTAATTTTTTTTATCTTTTCTGTTTCATATATATTTTAAAATCTTTTATTCACTGCTTTTTGCTTTCTTTCCTTCACTTTCACCAGCACTTTCACTGGATAGAGGTTGCTTGGTAAAATATCTATCCAAAGAGGTTTGGCTTTGCCTACTTTTTAAAATGTTTCTAAAATGACTTAGGCAAATGTCATTAAACTGAGCAGCAATATGGCCAGTGTGAACCTTTTTGGGATGTTCCTTTTCAATAAAATCAGTCAATTTCTGATAATACCTCAAGATTTCCTTTATCGAGTGAGATCCTTTCACAACAAAGCAAACACGCGGACTAAAACCAATCATGGCGGTGGTGCTGCAAACTAATGTAATGTTGTATGGTGAGTTTTTATTCGTAACTTGGAGCAAAAATATGTTTGAATTTCATGTCATATCCTGAAAATTTCGTATGCTGAAGCATTCGTATCCTGAGGTACTACTGTACTGTATTATGGTTTTAATGATAATAGAAATATTCATTCAAACAATATATTTACCAAATATGATTCAACAAATGTTTTCTTTTCTGTTGGAATCTTCTTTGCATCCTGCAATTAAATAAAACTTATTTAATTATCTGTGGTAAAGATAACTATACACAAAATATATCATTTACAACTCATTTTTTCATAAAATAAAAAGATTATAAATATAAATGGCATCTTTATTAATCAGTTAATGATAAAAATTTTATAAAACTACAATTTCTTTCTTTGAAATTTTTTCAAAACATTGCTTTCCTATGGTTATTAATTAAAATAATATAAGAAAGCTTTTGTTTCTATTTATAGCCCTATTATTATTATTTACAATTAACAATTATCACTTCTGTGGAAACTGTCATTATTCCAATAAAATATATAACATTTTTGCCTTTATTTTCTGAACATTAAGAATTTTGCCCTGCTTCTTTTAAGTGTTGTAGAACTTGCATTTTACAACTCCACTTTCATAACTGAATTATTAATATTGTATTATGGCTGTAACAAATGCCATACTTTTTTATAAGTTATTACCATACAAAGATGATAAGATTCAAACTTCTATCGACAGAATGCAATTTCAATTTGCAATACTGAAATTACAGAAGACAGAATGGAATACATGACAACTGTTTTCTAGGAACCAAGTAAGTCATAAAAACAAATATTAACAACCTAATAAATTTCTCCTTTCATTATATCTTAATGAATACAATCATATTTTAATCTATTATTTTACAGTATTTACATAGTATGTAAAGATTTATGCCATTTTTATGTTTACAGTTTTGCAAGTGACAGATGAGACTGAAAATAGTTGAAAGAGTAACCAGAATTTTTTAAAAAAGTAAAAGTAATACCAAAAAGTAACCATATAGTATACAACAGGTAAATCCAATACACTTAACACCTATATAGCAGGTAACTGTTATTATTGGATTATCATATCTACAACTAAAGCTTGTATGAATGAGATAAAAATTACTTTAGTAACCATTTTAGACATCATACCATCAACAAGTTATTTAGACCATATCACTTTTTCAAGACAAATATAACAAGTCCAGATTGAGTAAGATATCCATATTTTAAAAAGAGTATAATATATATATATATATATATACAGGTAGTCCTCAGTTTACGCCGGTTCAATTTACGCCACTTCGCAATTCGCCGAAAGTATAATTCCCCGATTTTCCCTATGCTAGACTGATTTTCATTTCAGTGTTGACTTATTTACCAAGCCACAACATTGTACATTCGTTAAAACAAAGATTTTTATTGAATATATTTATTTTTTCTGTTTAATATTTTTAGATATGTATACATTTGCATTAAATTAATATTAAAATACTAAACGTTTAGGTACCCACGAGTCAAGATATTAAACTTAATAGTCCAATAAATGGCGTCCGAATCCATAGCGCCAATGAATGTATCCACGTATCAGTTCATTCAGGAAACACCTTACGACGCAATAGCACTTCCGGTGAACACAAATTACCGTTAATGAGACAAATCTACTTCTCATTGGCCAGACGATATTTATCTCTCCTTAGCCAGCTTGAATTTTCCCACTCAAACTGACCTTATATATGCGCTACGGCAACCGGTGGTCGACCAATCAGTGTCTCTACTCGTCTGTAGCTCTATGTTGGGTTAACGTATCCTTTCAACTATGGAAAGTTTGATGGATGAACTTTGTGAGTTAGACAATGATTGGGAGCGAAGTGCGAATGTAAAAAGGAGCATCATATTCTACCATATTCCGAAATTCTTAATGAAAGAAATCAAAAATATAAACAATTAAAGATGGATACTTTTCCGAAAAATGTAAGAAATTGAAAACTAAAATTTTTAAATAAAAACATTTTACTTTATTTTATGATAAAATACATTTTAAAAATTAAAAATTTATATGTATTTTGTATTATATTGTATTAATATACAAAATTATTAGCTTATTTTTCACTTATGTAGAACCTAACCCTATACCTCACTGTAAATATGGGTTCGTTTTACGTTGATTCGATTTGTGCCGGCTTTTGTAGGAACGGAACTGCGGCGTAAACCGAGGGCTATCTGTATATATATATATATATATATTCTCTTTTATATATATTTGTTCACATTTTTTTTCACATTCTCTTGAAGAAATTTGTTATGAAATTTCCTCTCTCTTCAATGTTCTTCTGTAGCTGAGCTGTTTGTTTACTTTTGGCTTTGTCTCCTTCTTAAATACTTATGCCATGTAGTTTTTTTCCCCTATTTCAATAATAATGCATATTTTAATCTACATTTTCATACTGAATATGCACTTAATTGTTAAGAGACAAACAGGAACAAAAAGTAACCTAATACTGAAAATAGCAAAGAAATACTAACTGGAAATAAAGAAGTAGCCCACTTGTAGCCCTGTGTTTATATATTCATACTTTTATGTAACTTTTAACATAAACCATTTTAAATGGAAATTCTATTTAAAATAATCTTTCTCATTTATGATATTCTAAACATTTATACTTCTTATCAAATAGCACATTATTTTAAAATCTCAAAACTAATTTTATTTAATCTTCAAGACATCATTAAAACTGAAATAGTTTAAACATGACTTACCACTAAAGGAGTGGACATCTTTTCTAAAGATAATAAAATTCGTTTAGCCGTTGTACTCATGTAGTCAAAATCTTTTTTTGACGAAGCATCGTTCACTTTCAATTTAGTATTTGAGGCATTTGTGTCCTATAAAAGAAAAAAATCAATTTATTACACCAAGACTTCAACTGGAAAGAAATATGTAAAGAAATATTTTTCAAAATATATTTATAGAAAAACAGATTCTCTTAACACATTAAATTTGGAGATATATCTGACTTTGTGATAATGCAGATATTTATTTTAGCATTGTCTTATTTTTTGTATGACACAATGCAATATTTTCACAGTTCTCATTTATTCAATTTTGATTGTGTAGTAAAACATATACTGCAGTTTAGCCTACCAATAATGCATTATATCTTAATATAGCCTAGCAGAACATATTGAAAAGTTGATTAAGAGTAAAATTGTTTTCTTATGTTAATTTTAAACACTTAAAGATTAAACTTTTTCCCTTGGTTTTGTTGAAAAATAAAGTTTTATTTGAATTTTTTTGAAAAAATGTGGCATTTTACTGTATTGTTTTTATATTAAAAATTTAATTTAGAATCTTAAAAAGAGTCTGCTAATTTTAAATTTTGAAAATTGCTGATATAAGAAATATTTTATTTTAATAAACATAAAAATTAAATTATAATCTTATGTCATCAGTAAGAAAATAATGAACAGACTACAAATAATTATAATCACTAAAAGTTGGCAAATAAGTTGCTCTTTATGTAATAAGTAAAAAAAACAGTTTCAATTCACACACTAACTTCTTTCAATGTATGATGCTTAAAGACAATTAAAGTTAGCATTTTATTAAATTATAATTTATTATAGTAGTAAATATTTAACAGATCTTTATTCACAATACCAACTTTATTCATCGACAATTCTAATCAAAATTATTTCAATAATAATTTAACAGTGATCTTTAAATATATTAATTAAGTACTACTGCTGGATGCTCAATTATCATTACTTGTATACAGAAATGACATTTAACACAAAATTTTATGAGAGTATATTAGAAAATACCGTCTTTTTATATTTATAACTTTCCTCTTAAAATAATTTTTTCGTGCTTGTATGACTAACTATCTCTAACTAAGCCAATCTATGCTTAAGTGAAGAATTTATCTATTTAAACAAAATTTTTATGAAAATTGTCAATGTTTAATTATGTTTCCAGCAAAAAATTAATGTATCAGTAACAGCATAACAAAGGCATATTGTTCATCCTAGATACTAAGAATACTTAGAAATGATCATCAGTTTTAAATCTGATGATCATTTCTAAGAGTAAGCTATTTTATTATTACTTTTTCACTTTTATAAATTCAATGGTTAAAAATAAAATCTAAAATTTTGTCTTAAGTAAAAAATTTTTCTCTAATTTCTGATGGTCTAAATTTATTATCTGACCAAAAAGAGAATTGATAATGTGAGATTAGCTGGGGGTACCTTTCCACTAGGATTGTTAGTACCACTTAATTGGCGCAGATTTGAAACAATCTGTTCTCGGAGTTTCGGATCGTCCTTAGTTAGGAGTACGTTGGAAGATCTCATAGATCTTCCGACGTACTCCTAACTAAGGACGTTGGCCTTAGGGAGACAATATGGGAACTTCTTTCCAATATGAGATTCCCCAATGTACTCCTCGAATCATGCCGATCTTTGACTATATCTCATGATCCGTGACCAATCAGCATATTTGGATTCTCTCATGTGAACGGATGAAGTGGGGAATTATTGAGGGGTTGACAATTCCCATGGTGGTGAGATTTGTGTTAGATAAGTGGAAAAACAAACAATGCTTCAACTTCCGTTAAAGGAAGTGGCTCTTTTATCAGTTTTCCCACGTTAGAAAAACAATATTTTCACACCAAAACGAAATAATATTTTACTTCATAAATTTAATTTTATATTTAAATTGTTAATTAGACCCAGGGACTATTCGGATCTCACAATAATGACAATGCATTTATCATTAAATTGTTAAAGAAAAAGTCAAATGTTGGCTAAACAGTCAATTTTTTTTTATTAATTCATAATATTTTCTTTGTTTTTCTTAATAATCCTCTCTATTAAATAAGAAAACATGTATGTAGATGTATACATTCTTTTAATTGGGCTACAATTTTCAAATTCAGACCTACACATTCCCACTATCATCTATTTGTCTGTCATTTGTTAATCTCAAGAATGGAATTAGATAGATGAAAATCGAAAATCTTAGAGACTGGAGGTCCTGAGTGACTATATACAAACTTCCATCCTGAGGTAAAACTTTGTGATTTTTTTGAATTAAAAAAGATAAAAAATTGCAGCATGGCATTGTATCAATATCACAATAAATAATTGCTCATTTTTCTTTCATTATTTTCAATATCTAACACTAAAATTCCTTATTTTCATCACTAAAGTATAATGGAAAGAAATGCAGAAGTCCTTTTTTGTTCTCTAATATTTTCCTATATATTCTATACTTACATAAATTTATGTGTTCTACATTTATATAATTAAAAACATATTTTACAATAACTGAAGATTATTTCCAATTATTAAATATACCTTGTTAGAAAAATCCTTAAAATTATTACATACACATACAATAGAATTATTGTAATTATTGTAATTATTCTGAAACCTAGCTCTATTGATAACTGATTGAACATTATAGATATTGTTACTTAACCACTTAATCAGTAGAAATTTTAATTTTACTGACTCTGATATTAAAATAATTCATTAAAAAAATTTAAAATATTTAATTTAAAGAACTACTAATTATAATTACTATTATTAATTACTCATAATTCAATCCAATGCTTGCAGTACAGTGGTTTAAATTATTGGCATTTCTTACCTCAATTATAAATTATTATTATTAAAACTAACACTGCCAAAATAAAAAAAAATTTAAAAACAGCATGGAAATCATGCCGTTTTTTTAATTTTTTTAAGCAATAAAATCAGGTTAAGAATGATAGCAATTGTGTGTTATGAGCCACATGTTGAGGCAAACAGAGCAAAAATGACAACTTTTTACCTGTTCTGGGACTTGCCAATTAATTCTGATGGCATTAGACAAGTGATAACAATATCTATGATAAAAAATAAATGAATTCTACTGTATGTGTAAAAATTCCAATTACAAAATTAGAAACATTTTATATTTGAAGTAAAATCTTACAGGACATGATATTGATGATAATATATGTGATCTGTTCATAGCAGATGCTCCGCCAAATGTTGTTTTACCCTCATAAAATGGTGAATGACAACAGTTTCCTCCTGAATGAGATACTTCACCCTAATAATAAAAATTATACATATTATTATTATTATTTCTGTAAGAAAATTTATTTAAAGATTGTTTAATTAAAAACATAATAATTTTATATAACTAGCAAACACTTTTTAGAAAAATAATAGTTACAGTTATCAATTTGCCTTGTTTGCATTCTCAGTGAACTTTTAATATAAATAAACTGGCTAAAACCCTTGCATGATTTCCTCCCAACTCATAATTTACAAAGTTAAAGTTATGTGTAGCACATCTGTTATGAGATTTTATTTTAAAATAATTTTATGCTATTAATCATGTAAAAAGACAAAAGGTTTATTTTTGAGTAGGAGTGAACTTTTAAAGAAATTTCAAATGCTAATAACATCTAAAACTTTCATTAAGACTGACCCCACTTTGAAATATGACACAAAACCTTCCTTTATCTCCCTATCCCACTGACCTTTGGCATAAATTGAACTTTGAAATTAAAATTCTATTAACATATATATTCCTAACTGAAACTCTCAAAACCACATTTGTCATGTCCAAAGTTTAGGAGCATGTTCCCCATACACTATGAGTATTTCTTACTGTTTGTAACCATTATATCCTTTACGAAACTTAAAAAGCATACAAAATATGCCTGATATGCATTTTATCTGCATACATTTCAATTTGATTTACACAAACAAAATGTGAAGTTTTCAAATAAGCTTCTAAACAAAAAATAACAATATGACATTAACAGTAATGTGTTAAATTTCACAACTATTGTAACTAAACTACATATCTATATCCAAAATTACCCTCAGTACAAAAATAGCAAATTCATCAACATCTTTAAAATGCCTCAATGTCCTTGACTTACTAAAATACAAATTTTCATCTACAAGTACGTATCTTCTAATATCAGGACTTATTATACTGGCTTTACAGAAAATGCTAGAGTTTCACAGAAAACAATTTTTTATTTTATTTAATATACCTGGACACATACATAATATTGGTATGTGTCTAAGTATATTAAATAAAATAAAAAATTGTTTTCTGTGAAACTAGCATTTTCTGTAAAGCCAGTATAATAAGTCCTGATATTAGAAGATACGTACTTGTAGACGAAAATTTATATTTCACCAACATCTTATTCACTGAGAAAAACATATCTGTGTTTAGTAAAGATGACTGTTAATTAAAACTTCTGCTACCTGTGTATAAAGGAATTGCTGCTATTTTTTGCACGTTAACCCATAATCACATTTTTATTTTTTTTTTTATTTTTTTTTTACAGAATCACATGCTTAATGCAGTGATTTTCCACTGATTTTTCATGCATAATTATGTTTCATGTTGTTTCTCAAATTTGTATTTGTTTCATGTTGTTCCTGAAATTTGATAATTCCAAAAAAAATCCTGTAATGTGCACATGCCAAATTTTAGAATTGTACCTTTCTTAGATGACAAGATATTGTTTTGTTTACAAAACAATATCCTTTCAAGAGCTCCTGAAGAAATCTTCAAACTTTGTGACAGTGTGGGCTAATATGAAATAAGTTTAGCTGGAATTAAATAACAAGAGGGCTGAGTTGTTTCTCATATCCAGAAAATTACTTTGCTGTATCTTTCAGGCAAGAAATAAATTCACAAAAACATTTAAATTGTTGAAGGACATATCACCGAGACTATCTCATGAAGACAAGCGTTCAAGGTCAAAGCAACTTGCAGATCGCAGATCACCATGTCATGATGTCAAGTATAGCTGACAATCATCCATGATATCATGACCACCCCTTGAGGCAATTGTGAAAGATCACCATGACTTCACTTTTGATGGTGTCAGGTTACCAAAACTGTCTCTCTCATTTGTGTGTGTGTGATTGTGTGGAAAACAAACTGTACACAATTACTTGTGCAAGGTGGTAAATTTCTGCAGTTGTTTTTGAGAACCTGTGATAAACATAAAAAATTTTTTCAACCCCAAATTTTTACAGTTAAATGGCTAGTGCGTGGCATGAGGTTATCATAGAAGCAACTCAATTTGGTAAGTCAAAATGCCTACAAAAAGCTATTAGACATGGAAAATTCCCACTATTACATGTGGTCACAGGTTAGCCAAATACCGTTTAAACAATGAACGTCTACATTACTGAACAGTTAAAAGTATATAAATATGAATGATAGATTTGTAATCTTATATTAAACTACAGGAAGTCCCCGATTTACAACATTAATTAATTCTGAAGGCTTCCGTACAAGTTGAAAAACCATATAAGTCATAATTCATTTCAAAAAATAATTACAGTTAAACAGCTTCTGCTTATAAAAAGACAATTTCTGAAATTTTTATTTTTTGAAAGTCCTCACCTTTTATATACATTCAAATTGGTGCTTGATAGATGAGTTGTCAGTCATATGCAGGGCTGTGGAGTCGAGTCGGAGTCGTGGAGTTTTGGTGTTTTAGCCGGAGTCGGAGTCGTCAAAAATTCCGCCGACTCCGACTCCATTTTACTTACCAACTTGTTATGTATATAAAATGGAAAAGTATTGGAATCGGGTCAAATTTGACCCTCCAGGTTTTTATTTTTTTGCAAATCTACACGTTTGGAGATCTCCCGAACCCCACAAAAAAGTCAATAAAGGGAGAAAAATTCGCACGCATGTGTGTGTTAATGTCTAATTTGTTTAATTTTTTTATTTTCTGTTCTGAAATATTAAACAATATTTCAGAATGAGTAAAGTTTAAGAAACGAAATGTGCCACTGTGGCTTGCGTATAAAGGGGCATTAATAGAGGAAAAGATGGTATTATGGAACCACCCCATTTCGAACTGATAATAAAGGCGGACTGTAGCGGATTGTGTCTGAACTGCACTAGGCAGACATCCATAGCGTGGGAAAAACCCGTTTTACTTCAGTTAAACAGTTGTCCGTATTTAATCAGCAAATTTGTTTTTTTCAAAATTTGTAAGTTTTGAATGCTAAGTGAATTTAATTATTTTAAAAATATAAATAGTGTAGTTGTAGGTTCACTGGTGCATGTATTCCGTTTCTGAGACTTAGGGATACATATTAATCTGTGTGATGTTCACGTTTTTTAAATTTTGGCCTCGACAGACATAAGTTAATTCAAGATGGCAATGCGTGATTTACGGACCCCATTGGTGCGTTTACGGTAATATGAAACTCAACTTCTCCGAACTCTCTCTTTGCAAGCAGACATTTGTCCGGAGCAATTTGTGAAAAAGACACTAGGTAGAAAGTCAATTCTTCCTGAGAATATCGAAAAAGAGCTGCTGAAATATATATTGTTGACGGAGGTCATATTTTTTATTATAAAAGATTTTTGCTATAAAATACATTGGAGTAAATAATTTTGGTAATGATTTAACATTTTTTGTACTTTCCTATTTGTTTTTGGCTACATTAAAGCATTTTTTGAAAATATACAGTAAGATTCCATATAACCACCCAATTTTCTCTAAGCCTACTTTCTGACTTTTTGTACAAAAGCCTTCAAAAAACCATACTTATAGTTACACTAGCGAAAAATCCAATTNAAACAAAAAAAGTTATGCATTCTATCACGTACATAAACAGTGTCGTAATTCGCCAAGTGCAAATCAGCAAATTCGTAAAATTTTTGTTTATTTTGAACAATCCGGATAATCGAAAATCTGGATAATGGAGGTCCAGATAATGGAGGTTCTACTGTATTTCTCTTTAATAGTTTTAAAGGCAAATGATTTTCAAATGAACAATGACAATGATATGTAAATTCATATGATTTTTGCAGTCTTGATATTTTCTTTTTCTGAATCTTAGTATACCTTAATATATGTAATCTGTCAGTGTCTTTCTTCCTTAAATGGATTGTAAGAGCTTAAGAGATAATACAGATAATAAAAAAAATTCAAATCTTTTATTTAGTTTTTAAGTAAATCATTGTATAGAAGTTTTTTAGATTCAAGCAGGTTTTTCAAAATCGTCCACTACACACAGTCTTAAACTCACACATATAGAAAAAAAAAAAAAAAAATTCAAATCTTTTGCATATCTCGAAATTTCGAGGTGTCCGAGTCCAAAAATGTAAAAATTTAAAAAGGGTCATTTTTTGACCGAGCACTACACTTTCCTTCTGTATAACAGCCGGAAAAGTAAAAATTATCGAATACATATTTATATATTACTTAGAGGAGTCTTTATCGTTGGAATAACAAGTTTCTACGTTCTATCTTTATTAGAACTCAATTTATTGAATCTTTTATTCTGAGGTCATGTGATGACATCAGAATTTCCGGGTCTTTTTCGGTAACAAGTCCTCCCTTGGTCGGAGTCGGATGATAAAGAAAAGTCGGAGTCGGTAGATTTTTACGCGACTCCACAGCCCTGGTCATATGTCAAACATTGCAATGCATATCTAAGAACCTACATAACTCAAATTTTATTGCTTTAGTATATTTTATTACTTTATACAGCAAACTACTTGTTTTGTTGCAGTGGTCATCATTATATAACATTACTTTGCAGATGTAAATAAATAAATCTATTTGAGTCAATGAACTACAATACTTGATATTGACAAATTAGTTGTTAGTTTTTGAAGACAACAAAATCATCATCAGCAGTATAAGAACACAATGAATAAATTATAAAAACTTTGAATTTACCAATGATGGAGCTCCAAAACTTGATAAGTTAAATGATGGTTTTCTACCAGTAAATGTTGGCTGTGGTCTTGCTCTCTTATTTGGACAAACAATTTTTTCCTTATACCATGAATGCAATTCACTCTGATTAAAATTTGAATCTGAAAATAAAAAAGAATTATATAATTTAAAAGTAATTAATAACTGTACTTATACAATAATAATAATTAGATTTACATAAACAATAAAAAAATATACAATAACCAATATTACTACCAAAACAATTTAAAAATAAAAATTTACAAAAACTCGATTTAATTTAATCAATCAAAAATAATTTTGAAAAAACAGGATGTGCCAAAGCTTATAAATTATTTTGATTAAAATACCATTTATAATTAATTAATTTATCAAAAGTACAATAGTTTGAGTGTTATATGCAGTTGAAAATTTATAAAATATAATTTGCTCATGATCAACACAGTCTTATTTTGCATGATTCTGAAATAGCATGCCATTACAAGCAATACTCAATAAATAAATCTTACTATAGACATAAACAGCATACCATAAGATTAAAATCTTGAATATAAGAATTTAATTTAAGAAATTAGAAACTGCATTTCAAGAATCTAGAGAGATTGAAGTCAAATTGTAATGAGTGATATTAATAATTTTCTGTTTTTCTACTGTACAGGTACTCTTAATCAGCACTACCGGATCTAGCAATTTCCCACTTTTCCAGTGATTTGAACTTGTAAAAAGTGGGGAAATATTTTTAAATGCAATTTGCAATGTGATGAAAAAATATATTATAACTATTTCTTTGTTTGATATATTAAATGCTTTATTTATATGGTAATAGAGGGCAATTGTTGACAGAATACATATTACATATATAGTTCAATAACATTATATATAACATTACTGTAGTATTAGAATTATTTAGTCTTAAGTGATGCCCAGTACAATAGTTACAATTTCATTACTGTAGCAGACTTTCATCATTAGCATAGAAGGCCATGGAAGCTATATGGAAAAAGCATTTTAGCATGATTTTAATGTTTCATTTTTCTCCAAATCACTGAGTGTAGAAAGACTTGAAATTTTTTTTCTCTGAATAAACTAAGTTTTTCTATTTATCACCAAATCCAAAGACATATTTACTAAATTTGACACTAGATTACTGCACATGCACACGAAGACAATTTTTTAGCAATTTTTCATAGGGGCATTGTGATTTCAAATGGTAAATGCCTGACGACATTGCTCTCAATTAAAGTTTTTTAAAAAATATTTTCTTCTCATACAATATGAATAAATTTTATTCATCTCATTTATGTGAATTATAAAAATCTCTTTTCATTTTAATTTGTAAATTGTGTTTTAATTTTATAAACTGAGTAAATTAAGAAGTTGTATTGGTGATTTCTTATGCACTAACAAAATACATCTCCCAAATTTTAATGTATTTCTATATAACAACTGATCATAGTTTATACAAAACTGTTTATGCAGATTCTCAGGAAGATATCTCAAACAATAACTTTCATATAAAACTGGAAAACCAGTCAACATCAGATTAACCAAAAAAATTGTTTATTTTTAATTTATTGTTTATGATATAACTTTTTCTACTTCAGTGACTGTTAAACTAACCTTATATTAGATATCTTGTTTGTCGACATTTAGACAACATTCATATATTTACATCTTCTTCTTCATCTTTGCCTTTTCCCATGTTTATATGGGGTTGGTGTTTCCTTCTCTAATACATTTTTTCCCTCTCTCCTTATCAAGGGCTTCTTCTCTCAAGTTCCCTCTGATTCAAGTCTTCTTCCACCTTATCTTTCCAATGCATCTTTGGTCTTCCTCTTTCCTTTTACTACCAGTTTTCCAATCTTCTTTCCAACATAATTGTCACTTCTTCGCTCTATGTGGCCAAACCACCTCAACCTACATTCTTGCATCTTTTTGCTCAAGGGGCACACCTTAACAGAACCTCTAATAAAATCATTCCTTATTCTATCCTTCCTTGACACTCCACACATCCATCTCAACATTCTCATCTCTGTCACCTCCATCTTTCTATCTTGGGCTCTTGTTATTGCCCATGTCTCAGCTCCATATAACATTGCAGGTCTAACAACTGATTTATACAATTTTCCTTTCAGATTGCAGCTAACTTTCTTGTCCCATAACACACTGCTCAGCTTCCTCCAGTTCATCCATCCACATTGAATTCTATGTTGCACCTCTGAGTTCAATCTTCCTCCCATCTCGACAAATGTCCCAAGATATTTAAAACTTGGAACAAAAGGGAGCGGCACATTTTGGATTTTATTACACTCATCTCTACCATTCAGTCATATAAGTTTTTTTTAGTTCTGCTAATCTTCATGCCCCTTTCTTCCAAAACTTTCCTCCAATCTTCCAACTTCTTCTCGGCCTTGATTTGGGAAAGTTCACACAGCACAATATCATCCGCAAACAGCATACTCCATGGAGCCTCACACTTCATGTCACACACCAACACGTCTATTATCATGATCCCTGATGCAAACCAACATTCACGAAGAACCCTTCTGTAGTGCCCACATTACTCTTAACTTGGGTCTCTGCTCTCTCATACATTTCGACAAGCCTAACATATTTTTCTGGAACATTCTTCCCACCAAACATCTCCACATCTCTTACCTTGGTACCCTATTGTGAGAATTCAGACTCAAGTGTAAATTTTCACACGTTGATATGGTTTATTTTTATCATTATTTCCTTTTTCTTTTTCCCTCTCGTGAAGTGAAGAGTAGACCTTTTGACCCCTCAGTGTACTGTATCACCTCGAAGGTGACTTTAATCATCCAAAGGACTTCCCTCACACCAGGGGATCGTTCAAATTCTAACGTAAATATAAGGTGCAGATAAGTAGCCAATTAACGGTGACAACCATCTGTTACTGTCTAGAGAGTAACCAAAAGGTCACCAATGAGGATAAAACAAAACTCCGTACTCCCCTCTAAGTCTGATTGACCCGATGAGAAAGTCAATCTAAATGACCAAATAAGGCAATGATTTTTATTAAGATGGTGAGACATATTCTGATATGAGTCACCTCACGTCAATAAATCAAGGAGTTTGACAAATTTATGATGGGAAAATGTCAAATAGTGGAAGGAAAGGATGACGATAACATAAACACAGCTGTACTCAAGTCGAGCTGACAACTGCATCAAATTTTCTTCCCCCATGGTTCCTCCTCTGAGATAAGTATAAAAACGGGTCGAACTTGCACCTCCAGGCGGACAGCCAAGGAGAACACCGCCAAATAAACTCCATCTGCGGACATCTCCATGCAGAACTCTACAGTTGGAGATCAACGGAGTACACCCACATCAGACATAGACAAGTGGACATCAAGGGACACCAGCTCCATACTGCCGTCCATGGAAAACTATGATTAGGAACCTCCAATCCTAGTGCATCCTACCAATGCCTAATACGAAGAGATCAAATCCCACGAGGTAAAACCTTCACCGAATTTTGTCTCTCTCTCCAACACATCCTTCTTAGAGAGGTATATCTCTTGTTCTTTAGTTTAGGATAGAACGTAGATATAGAATAGAAACCTTTTATTATTTATATGTGTATCATTTCTGCTTTTTCCTTTGTTATGTATAATCTCTTAGTTGTTTATTAAATGTGTTATTGTTGTTCAACCTATGTAGTTATTCGGACACCTCGTCACAACCTCACTACCCCCTCCTCACTCAAATTTTTGCCCTCCTATGGCCATAATCTGACATGAGCTGATAAGTGGGGAGAAGCACAACGCTCCACCCCCTCGGTTCTCACACTATCATATGCCTTTTCTAGATCTATGAACACCATGTGCAAATCTTCCTGCATTTCCTTGTGCCTTTTCATCAGCTGTTTTAGAGCAAAGATAGCATCAGTCATACTCCTTCCTGGCAAAAAGCCAAACTGTTCCTCTCAAATCTCAGATTCCTGCCTAATCATTCTTTCTACAATTTTCTCCCAAATCTTCATAGTATGGGACAATATCTTCATACTTCTGTAATTTCTGCAATTCTGTACATCCCTTTTACCTTTAAAGATCAGCAAAAGAATGCTCTTCCTCCATTCATCTGGGATCTCCTCCTGTTGCCAGAGTTTCTTCATAAGGTCCCAGATGATATCAATTCCCTCCCTACCCAAACCTTTCCAAGCCTCAACTGGAATCCAATCAGTGCCTACTGCTTTCCCGTCTTCATTTCCCTAAGCACCCTTTCCACTTCTTCTCTGCTAATATCTTGCACCACTCCATTTGCCTCTCCATTCTCATATAAAGTTCTGGGGTTTTCTTCATTCAATAAATTCCTAAAATATACTTTCCATCTCTCCTTGACCCTTTCGTAATATTGTAATACCACTCCTTTATCATCTTTAATCAGTTTAATAGAGGTAAAATCTTTTGATGCCTTATCTGTTGCTTTGGCAATTCTCATCAACTGCCTTTCACCATCTTTCCTTTCGAAAACTTTATAAGCCTCTTCAAAAGCCTTTGCTTTCGTAATAGCCACCACCTTTTTAGTCATTTTATTTGCCGAATGGTTTCTTTATCTTCAGGCCTTCCCATCAAATCCCACCTTTTCTTTGCCTCTTTCTTTTGTTTAACTGCAGATTGCACCACCAAAGTTCCTTTCCTTCTGACAATCTCTTCCCTGAAGTGTTTCCCAAAACCTATTCTCCAACTTTCAAAATTTTCAACTTTCACATGGTGGTTGCAATTACTATTCAGCAACCACCATGTTTGCATATCATCCAGAAACTGGATTTCTTTTAACACTTTTACCTTAAACTCTTTCCTTAATTCCTTCTCTTTCAATCCCCACCATTTGATCCTTTGTTCAATCTGGCTAACACAATTCTTACAATGGCCCATAAGAAAATCACAATCCACCAGGAGAACTTTATGTTGCATAGCAACACTTTCTCCATTTAACACCTTACTGTTTCTCACTTCACTCATATGTCTCCTGCGGCACAAGAAAAAATCAATCTGGCTGGATCTTCCTCCACCCATGTAAGTAACCAATCGATTCGCTTTCTTCTCAAAGTAGGTGTTAGCTAGCGTAAGGTCAAAAGCCACAGCATAATTACCTAGTCTTTCTCCCTCTCCATTCCTTTCTCCCACACTCCAACTCCCAAGAACTCTTCTATCCGCATTATTCCTCTTCTCAATATGACCATTTAAATTGAAACCACAGATTAATCTCTCGTTCACAGGAACACACATTATGACTTGGTCAAGATTTGTCCAAAAGTTTGTCTTTTCTTCTTCTCCACTACCTGGCTGAGGAGCATACACACATACACAATCGTAATGAAAATTCCACCAATGTCCAACTTAACGCTCATAATTCTATCACACCTTTGTTTAACCTCACACTCTGTCTTTTAGAACTTTATCAATTACAATACCAACTCCATTCCTTCTTCCCTTATTTGCTCCACTCACAAACAGCTTGTACCCTTTAAGTTCTTTAGCTTTACTTCCTTTCCATCTTGTCTCTTGCAGGCACAAAATGTTCACTCTCCTTCTTTGCATAAGATCAACCAACTCTCTACTCTTCCCATTCAATGTTCCGATGTTTAAATTACCTATTCTTATACTTGTCTTCTTCCTCTTCTCTTTCTGGACTAACTTCTTTATCTGAATCCGTCCTTAGTTCAGTAGCCCCAACTCATTTGACATAGTTTTTGGGAGACATGACTGCACATCACTTCGGGGGGACATCCTAACACAATTATAACTTACTTGTAGTCTAGCAGACATTCCATGTAGTTTTGGCATAGGTTTTATAGCCGGATGCCCTTCCTGATGCCGACCCTATTTGTTACAAGACTAAATATATTTATTATAAACATTCCTATATTTACTATATAATACATAATAAATTGCTACAACTATGTGTGTATATACAGTAGAGCGTCGATTATCCGAAAGTCAATCATCCGAAAGAATTCCAGTCAGCAAATTTAAATTTTCGCCAGTGCTGTGGCGCTGCAATCTTTGGCTATGTCTTGGGCTACTCAAATATTTTACGTTTTTGATACTAAATTAACTTCTGAAGTATAATTTTTTATTGTTTTTATATTTTTCAATATATTTATTTTGTTTGTACAAAATAAAATATAATTTTTAACGATACAATAGTCTTCGTTAGGCTTAACATCAACGAAAATTCAACGCGAAGCGACACGCAACGGAGAAAAATGTCAAGATGGGATAAATTAATATATTTTTTCGTACATAATTGGTTATCCAAAACATCGATCTTCTGAACGATCGATCTTTCCCAATTGATTCAGATAATCGACGCTCTACTGTATTTGTATATATGCATATGAAAACTTCAATAAACTTCATTATATATTTATTCACCTGTTCCATGAGTAAGAGACTCGGTCTCAACAGATATGTGCCTTTTCACTCCTTTGTTTTTAAATTCTTCTTTCTTTGATAGTTCTTTCTTTATCTGTTCTAAAGCTTCTTCATTAATCTGCAACCCATATTCATGAGACTGATCTTTTCTTTCCTGATGTGAAGAAACTAACGAAGAGCATCCACTTGTAGATGCAGAACCATCACTGTTGTCTGAATGATCATCACCTAAAATGATTATAGAATTAATTTTAGTATCAATGTAAAGGCATAAAATTTATATAAATTATTTTAAATATAATATTAATATGCCATAGCACAAGTGAATAGGAAATCACTGCCTATATAAAAAAAATTACATGCCTCTCATCAGTTTTTCACACTGCAAGATTAAAACTTTGTTTACTTTCCCCAACTATAGTTTTAAACTCAGTTTAAATTAAAATCATGGAATAATAAATCTTTACATGATTGCTTCTTGTTTTCTTTTAAAATTGTTAGAAGCAAGCATAAAGCTGGCTATAAAAACTAATCAATGATAATAAATCAGTCTTTATTGACTACAAAGGAAAAGAATATTGGATTATTTGTCCCTCATCATTCCTTTTTATTCAATATATATATGGTTAAACCATTAAAAGTTTTGAATTACAATTCTAAATATTTACATATATCCATTAAAATACATTAAAATTAATGTTGCCTGGAAAACAATGTTATAAAAAGACTTTCTTTGTCTTCTTCATCAATATGAATAAGTTCATCTCAGACTATTAATTTATTTTCTCCCAACGTTTGCTTGGTATTGTTTTCTCTTACTGCCTTTGCAACTTTCGAAATTGATGCAGAATCCTTAACTGCTATTAGATCTTGATTTTAAAGAATGCTTTTACAATACATAAAAGCTTAGCATGAGATGTTGATACCATCTTTTTGTTGTTTAGCAAATGAAGACACAATTAGACACATTTAGGTTAAATAATAACTTTATTGCTAGATTAAGTATGTACTGTACTGTACATGAGTATAAAGAAAATGTTTTGTTTTTAAATAAATATTGTTAGGTAGCATTTTTAATGTTGACTTATTACTTGAAACAACTTAGTTCTATTGTTTCATTACCCTGTCTATGTATATATTCATTATTTATTTATATATTATTATTCATTTGTATGTTTGTCATTTTCTAAAAGTAAATCAGATTTTTCTCTCCAACAATATAATAAATTTAAAAATACCAAGAATAAAGTGAAAATTATATTTTTAAAAGAGAAAAAAACTCATTGATACTGACAAGATTTGAAACACCAATCTCCTGATTACAAAACAGGTGCATCCTTTATGGAGCCACCAGTCAGTCTGTAAATTGTAAAAATGCTGAAACTTTTAAGTGACTATGCAATTTCCAACTTCAGATTTCTTGTTTAATTTTGAGTAGTGCACATTGCGAAAACACTATCCTCACCAAGTTTGATCAAAACTGATGACCCAAATGTCATACCAGTCATTCATTTAGGGATATCCCAATATTGCCAATACCAATACCATATTAATACTTTCCTTAGATACTGAGTACTTTTGATCTGATACAATATCAATACTTTTCCTTGGGTATCAAACCTGGTATTGTTACATTTTTCACAGACAAGTAAGATCCGATTGAAATTAGATTTTGCAGTTGAATCCAAATCTTACACTATTTTTAGTTAAATTAAACTTTTATATTAAATATGAATGACCAAAATCAAATAAATTTATTACATCAAATTTCATTTTCAGAATCTATATACAGAATGCTTATAGTTCAGATTACAGGTATAAAAAGACAGTTAGGTTTCAAAAAAAGTGCCATGTTATGTGAATCCGTGCTATATAAAATAAAGGACTAGTGAAAAATACAGGGTTAGATCCCAAAAGTTAACAAAAATATACTATTCCTTTTCATTAATAAGACAAATATGTTTATGAAAGCAACAAATAATTAACTAACAACCACAATTAATAGAACCATATGATGCATTAATATTAATTTTAGTTAAATGAGGACATTTTCTTTTTACAAAGTATCATTGTCATCTGAGCTTTTTTGTTGATCTTGATCAGAAATATCTTATTTTTATCATAAAAAACTTTTGTGGCTGACAAAATAAACATGTGTTGTCTTTGAAACCATGTTTGATAAATGTATTGGACTTCGAACGCAAATGTGAGTTTTAAATAAACTCTTGGCTTTATTTCCATCTCCTTTTAACTGATTCAACTAAAAGGAAATGGAAATAAAGCCAAGTGTTTATTTAAAACTCACATTTGAGTTTGAAGTCCAAAATAAAAATATGTTACTAATCAAAAATTCTCTCAGTAATTTCCTTTGTAGTCATAATAAAGCTTGTCTGATCTACCATTGTTGGGTTCGTGTAATAGTTCTCCTAAGGAACTTACTTTTAAATATTTTTAAGTTTTCACCAGTCCTTCCAGTGTATTTGTTCTTGCATAATGGTTGAGCAATATTTTAATGTTTGAGTAATAAATAAAATAAATAAATATTTTACTTAGTTTATCAAAAACACAAGCACAACATTAAATATTAAGAAAGATATATTAAATGTGGCAATATTTATAGGTTTATTACTCAGAAATTCAATATTGTACATTAAAAATGACTACAAATCAAAACCAACTACAATAATCAATTGAGAGAAAGGTGGAATTATTGAATTATGAAAATTAGAACAAATTTCTATGATTTATAAGTTGGCTAATTGTACCATATAGGTATTAAAACAAATACATTGATAGTATTGTGTACAGGCACAATGAAGTGACGTTTTTCTCAACACTGGGCTATTGTGTACAGGCTACAACACTCATTGTGCCTGTACACAACAAGCAAATACAACACGGTTTCGACAACATCAACATTGATAGTAATGTAAACATGAACTAAGACAAGAAAGAAAGATGTGATAAGCATCTCAAAACTAGGTAATTAACACTGATAAATTCAAAAACAGTTTTAAAAAACAGCTACAATTAGAGTATAAACAATACAAAAATATTTAAAGAAATTTGGAGTGAGGTCACAATAATCCACAAAGAGAGATTATTTAACAACTGTTCCTAAATCATTTAATGTAGAATTAATGGGTTAAAAGCAACACAACACAGGCAATCTGCCATGGAGGGATACCTCCCAGAACTTTCTAAGAGAAACTGGCTCCTACTAAGGTGTTAGACACAAGAAGAAAACCAGAAAACTCCATTGGTGAGATGTGAACCCATGACCAACTACCAGTGTTCAGTGGTTTAATTCGCTTAGCCACTGGTAGGTCCTAAGTCATTTAAAATATAAATGTATGAAGCAAGCAAAAAAATGTATTAAACACAAGAAGTAAACTCACACATTAAAATATAGTGAAGCTTGACAACCAAATGCTTTTGTTAAATTTTATCATTTAACATCTTCAGAATTAACATTTAGGATAACAAACCACTTTAAATCAGTAGTATAGAATAAAGATTTGTTTTCAAATGATAGAACCAGATTATTTATTAGGCTAATATTTGGCTAACTAATTATACAAACATAATTTGGACTAAAGGTTGGTTACACAGCCATTTTATAGCATGATAGTCTGGCTCTATCATTTGATTACTACTTTAATTTAGGCTTAGTTTAATTTCCAGATTAACTCATTCCACATTAACCCACACCAATGCAACATTAAAATATTGAAACTTACTTGAAATGTTGAATGCTTACAGAACAATAGCTCTTAAACTAAACAATGTATAACATTAAAATTTGGCAGGTGAAGAGAAGACACATTACAGTATTTTTTGGAATTATCAAATTTGAGAAACAGCAATTATGCGCATGTGTAATTACATATGAAAAACCAGGAGAAATATTGCCACCTTACACACGCAAGCATGTTTAAAAAGAAAGGGCATTTGCTCATGGATTAACAGTGATTTATAGAAGATGCTATATATATAAAAGACTGTTCAATTCTTAATTTACTTCATATCAAAGAATAAAAATGAAATTCTATTCCAATCCAAATGCAAACTTTATAGCAAAATAAACACTACTAATGCATTCAAAATATTTTAGAAATTTTCACAAGAACTTTACCAGATTAATAAAATATCAACAGAAAATCATTAATAATAGTAATAAAATAGGTTTGAGTTAGGCTATGCCTTTATCTTCAAATAAAGGCATTATAATTTCTACTAAAATTACAGATAATGATAAAACCATTATTACTCCATTTTTATAAATTAGATTTTGGAGTTTAATCTGAAATAATGATTGTTAATGATATCAGATACAACAAAGATCTGATCAATCAGAATGTTTTTATTTTAAAATAAGATTTACAAAACCTTAGAGCTTCAAACATTGATATATATATATATATAAAGCTTTTACATCCATTTCATGATAACTACAGACATACCTTGTTAATCAGAAGATTCAGTTCCAGATCATTACCATAAAGCAAACCTTTTTTCACTTACCAATGAAAATAGACCCAAAGATATAATTTATACCATCATTTATTAAGTGTGCAATAGAATTCAAGTAAGGAACTTAGCAAATGAATTCTCTGAATTATAGAAAGTATGGAAATTGGGCTGTGTTTACACTGCTGACAACAATTACAAAAATTGATATTTTTATCATTTATCTTTGTAAAATGTTCACACCAGTTGTGATCATTGCTTTTCTTCTTAGTCATCTGCTGTTCAAAAGTTACACAAGATTCAACATTTGTTATTATAATGGTACTGACCAATCAATGTGAACTTCCCACAATTCTCTTTAAACAAGATAGTGGAGTGGCTAATCTCATGTGTTAAAGAAAGAGGATCTATGAAGCTTAATAGATGGTCAAAAGTATTTAGAGACATACAAAAATAATTAAGAAATCCTTTGATGTCTTTTAATTGTCATTCTTAAAAAAAAGCATGAAATCTCGTGTTTTTCTCTCAATATTAATAGCTCTGATCCAGCACTGATGTTTGATACTTTCCTTATCATCAATTATAAATTCAGCTGTTGACATCACAGAATTAACATTTTATTCTGCATATCCATTTTTAAAAATGACATGAGTTCAGTTCAAAAATGCAGAAATCCACAGAATGTTCTTAGTCTAATGTACAGTACATTGTGCATGCTCTAACACAAAAACTAATGAACAATGTGAATACTGGCAACAAACATGACAAAAAAACACCATCATTACTGTTTAGAATCTGTGATTATTGTCATTACAGGGTAAAAACAGCCTTAATGAAAAGTTTTATCAAAGGTTAATCCTGTTTAGCACAATACATATTGACCAACAGATCTACCTTTAACCAACAAGAGAATAAGCAGTTCTAAATTAGTCATAAAAGAATTTAAGCAGACAAACTCTTGCATTCTTTAATTTTATAAATTCAGATGTAGTCTGGAGTTCAAAAAGCTATCTTTCTCAGATAAAACATGTACCCATTACAGTTATCAGTCACAAATATAAGTTTAGGCCTCTTAGTATCCACAGAGCAGTTTAAAAAAGTTTAGAAGGCCCTCTAATAAAGATGTTATCAATTTGTTTAGGATCAAGCAGCTTGAATATATAAATAGCTCTGAGTAATATAAGCAGCACCTTTTTAGGTGTATTTTTCTTTACCTATGTATCTTAAGACAATTTAATTTATTTTTAAGTGTTTATTTCATGTTCTTAGCAAATAACTAACTGCTTTTTTATCAGATTATGATCATTTATTCTCATCAAAGTAATTAAAATATCAAATTATTGGTATTAACCATCTGAAGAGTGGCCAAAATACTTATTTTTGATGACTCTTCTTACTCTAGAATAAATATTTGTGAATCTCTCTTCATATGTTACAGTAAATTAGATTATTATTATTATTATTATATTTTTACTCAGTTTTAATTTTTTTTAATGCTAGTAGATTTTATATAAATAACAAATATTGCATGTCACCTTTACTTCATGAGAGAAACACATTTCTAAGATCAGTAATTCAAACTATTTGGATTTATTCCAAAAGTCCTGTTTAAATAAATGAAATAAGGCTGGACAAGCATCTGGACTTAAGCCAAATACTTGGGTTATCGACTAAAAGGTGTAATTAAAACCTAATTGATTACGAACATCTTTGTAATAAAAACTGTCATCTAAAATGATCCAATTCCTGTCAAATTATTTTAATGAATTAAATTTAATTTTTTTGCAAATGTATATTAACACAATTATACACAAAATAAAATAATAAAAATTCTTTTTAAACGAGTGATGAAAGTAAAGCAAAGCAACAAATAATTTAGAACAACAACAGATTGGAACTTACATATTAGCAGTTCTTTCTTAATGAGTGAAAAGTTCAAGTATAATATATTCTTGTGATAAGAGGACAAAACAACAGATAATGTTCATTTTGTTTCTGTTCTTGATTTTTAAAAGGAAATTTTTTACCATTTTTAGACGGCCAAGTAGATTATGAGGGTCAATGCAGTCATAGGGTAATTTGATAATGTAAAAGTGAATAAAAGATTACCTCTTTTTCAGGATACTTAGTCTGAATTTTATTAATATGTCAAATAATACAGTAGAACCTTGAAAACTCGGTCTAATGTGGACCGAAGGGTAGCCGAGTTTGTGAAAATGCCGGGTTATCGGGAATGGGGTTAAAAAAAATAAGTACGAGTGTTTCCTCAGAAAATACTGTACTGTACTTGTATGTATTGTTTACTTGAGAATACAACAGAGAATAAACTGCCCAAATACCCTTAAACAAAGGAAAAGTACGTCCTTTATGAAGGCATAGAGCCTTTACTACATGAAAATGAAAATTAATGAATACACTGTGTACAGTAATTTACCTGATAAGACAGACCTCAGAAAAATACTTTATGAGAGCTTTTATACTTTTATAAAGCTGTCTATAATGAAAATTAATTAACTAAGGATTTTTTTGCCCTGCCAGGGTGTGGCCAAGTTATCCGGAGTGCCGGGTTATCGAGAGCCGAGTTTTCGAGGTTCTACTGTATTTATAATATTAAATATTAAAATTATTGTTCAAAATTATAATTATTATTTGAAATAAAGTAATTAGAGAAATTTGTGTAAATAACTAGATATCTACAAAATCACTGTATTATAATTAATTGGTATTTTACAACTGATTTTTCAGTATTTTTTCAATTCTAAAATGCCACAATTGTAATATACACTATGAATTTAAAATTAAACTGTATAAAAATTCTTCAATCTACAACATAATAAATTTATCTATAGATCTGAAAGTTATATTTTGGTTTAATTGATAAAAAAAGATAAATGTAATGTATTTATCAAACACTATAGTATTACATCCACACTCTTTTGAATACATAATACATTTTCTAGTCAATGTCATAATTCAATCTAATATATTTTAATTGAGGAATAGAATCCAACTTTTAGTTAAATTCAATAACTAAGTATTATGAATGTATATAATTGAAGCAATAACAAGATAAACAGAAATGAAGTTTGTCCTTATGTAAATAATGACAACTATGACACAACTTTCCTTTCTGCAGTTGTCAAACTGGTTTTTTTTTGGATCATATGTAAAGTGCTATCAACTGTAGACAGAGAGAGAGAGAGAGAGAACATGTCCTAATTTCAGAGACATTCATTAAAATATAAAAAAATGTGCATCTTAGATTGAGGAAATATGTTATACAATGTAATATTTAGTAATAATTTATAACTTCTGCATAGCAGTTTTATAATTTGACTGTAACTAAATAAATTAAAGGATTACATACCATTTACAAAAGACTGATGAGTTGATTTTTTCTGTAGTTTTACATTATTTCTTAATGTGTCACTTTTTAATAAATTAGATGTTTTTCCTTGAGTAATCTCATTGTAATTGTCAGTCAGATCTGAAATTTGTGCTTTTTCTCTCCTCCTCTTTTCTTGTTCTATAGTATATGATGAATAAGTGGGTCGTTTTTCAGGCATATACATATTTTTGGATGATTCGTTCCTAACATTTAAGTATTTTGACGATTCACCTCTATCTGATATCTTCTGATGATTTATCTGATGCAAAGTTTGTTGTGATTCTGTATTATCTTCTGAATTCTGATTCGCGGGAGTCTGAGACACACTTGAATCCGATTTGTTTGAAGAATTGTATAATATCCATGACGGCACAAACATATCTTGCAGTGTTGATGCTACTTTCTGAAATCTCGTGTTTTTCTCTCAATATTAATAGCTCTGATCCAGCACTGATGTTTGATACTTTCCTTATCATCAATTATAAATTCAGCTGTTGACATCACAGAATTAACATTTTATTCTGCATATCCATTTTTAAAAATGACATGAGTTCAGTTCAAAAATGCAGAAATCCACAGAATGTTGCTTAGTCTAATGTACAGTACATTGTGCATGCTCTAACACAAAAACTAATGAACAATGTGAATACTGGCAACAAACATGACAAAAAAACACCATCATTACTGTTTAGAATCTGTGATTATTGTCATTACAGGGTAAAAACAGCCTTAATGATAAGTTTTATCAAAGGTTAATCCTGTTTAGCACAATACATATTGACCAACAGATCTACCTTTAACCAACAAGAGAATAAGCAGTTCTAAATTAGTCATAAAAGAATTTAAGCAGACAAACTCTTGCATTCTTTAATTTTATAAATTCAGATGTAGTCTGGAGTTCAAAAAGCTATCTTTCTCAGATAAAACATGTACCCATTACAGTTATCAGTCACAAATATAAGTTTAGGCCTCTTAGTATCCACAGAGCAGTTTAAAAAAGTTTAGAAGGCCCTCTAATAAAGATGTTATCAATTTGTTTAGGATCAAGCAGCTTGAATATATAAATAGCTCTGAGTAATATAAGCAGCACCTTTTTAGGTGTATTTTTCTTTACCTATGTATCTTAAGACAATTTAATTTATTTTTAAGTGTTTATTTCATGTTCTTAGCAAATAACTAACTGAGGACAGTAAAAAAGCAACAGNTGAAGAAATGGTAAAAGACAGTGTGTGTCAATCAGTGAGCAGTTACAGTGCACTGTGGTAGTGTTCTTCATTACAACATGGCCCAGAGACAACATTTGGATGACTTCACACGGGGAAGAATCATTGGGAGACTGGAATAAGGACGAAATGCGATGAGTGTAACCCAGGAGTTTGGTATAGCTCACAGCATTGTTTCACGTGAATGGGGAGCGTTCCAAACCACAGGCACTGCTGCCCAAAGGAGAGGAGGTGGTCGGCCACGTTGTGCAATAGGCAATAAGGGACCCATGTTAATCAGCAGGTGCAATTGCAACCGCATTTAACAGGACTGCAAGGCACACAATCTCATGCTCGACTGTGGCACAGTGACTGCGTAGGGTGGTCTCTTTGCCCAACGACCAGTACATTGCGTTCCATCAACACCAGCACATCGGCAGCACCATTTGTGATGGAGCCAAGAGCATAGGGACTGGACCAACGAAGAGTGGGGTCGCGTGCTCTTCTTGGATAAGAGCAGGTTCAGTCTGAGTAGTGATTCTGGACGTACCCTCATATGGCGAGAGGTGGGAACACGTAATGCACCCAGGAACATTGTCGAACATGATCACTTTGGTGGTCAAGGTGTTATGGTATGGGGAGGCGTGATGTTGCATGGGTGTACTGACCTCCAAATCTTTGAATGCGGAATGTTATTGTGACACTGTACTCCTTCCCAATGTGCATCTTTTCAGAGGTACATTCAGCCCTAACTTCATTTTTATGGATGGCAATGCTCGACCGCATCAAACAGTGCAAGTGGAGGAGTTCTTGGAGCAGGATGATATTCGGCAAATGGACTGGCCTGTCCGTTCTCCCCGACTTAAATCCCATTGAACACGTGTGGGATGCGTTGGGGAGACGTATTGCAGCATGTCCACATGCACCAACGACCATCCAGCAGTTGTCAACTGCACTAGTGGAGGAGTGGAATGCCCTACACAGGAACTCCTTACCAACCTTGTCACCAGCATCACAGCACGTTGCAGAGCGTGCATTGCTGTCTGTGGTGATCACACACCCTACTAAGAATCATGTCCTGCTTTTTTGTAATGTCCAAGGGCCCATCAGAAATCGCGGTGACTTTAGTGTAATTATTTTCGTTGAATAAAAGTGTCATTTCTGTTTGTCTCATTGCATATTTCTGTCAGTTATTTTCCATACTATACTGTAGCAGTTCTTTCTATATATGGGTCAAGTTTCATCGAGCTATGCTACTTGGCAGTGACACAACATGTGAACATTATTTTCATCCTTAAGTTTTGCACACCAGTGTATATGTTCCTGATGATAAGCTGAAATGCTTATAAGTATTTATAAGTAATATAGTTGTTTTTAGCTCTCCAAGAAAGTAGTGTATAGCTAAATTTTGATAGTTGGAGATGATTGTAAACTTAATTATGTTAGTTATGTTAATACAATTTTAAAAAAATCATCTTTGTGTATTACAAAATATCCTTATAACAGACAAAAGTATTTCCTCTTATAAAAAAAAAATTTTTATAATGCCTAAAGATGATTTTCTTAATTGTATTCAACTTTTGTAGTTTATTTTCATTTAGGAATAATTTTTTATAATAGCAACAGTTTCATTAACACATTATAATTATGCATCAGATTTTAAGGAAATTTCATATTTTTCTGAGTCAGACTGATGCAAAGTTCAGAGAGATGTGTTTTGGATCATGTTGAATATAAATGAAAAGTTTTATAAGCCTTATTTTGAATGAAATTTCAAGTTATGTCTTTTTTAAACCAAATTACAGTATAATGCCTTTTTGTTTTTTTTTGGTCATTTTTTGGGGATTTTGTAGCCTTTTCCAACACATTTTGAAATTGTTATGTTTTTATTTAATTTAATTTTTGCCTACCATTGCTGAAACATGACTATAAGGTATTTACTTGACCTCTAGTATCAACTTAAAACAATAGGAGTTTCAGTGCATTTTCAAAAGGAGGACCTATAAGGTCAGCAAGTATAACAGAATCTTTATTCTACTTTCAGGAAATGTTAATTTTATTTTATAAATCTCATATACTTTCAACTGGATACTTTAAAAAGAATAATTGCAATAGATTACTGTGAGACATTTTATAACTATAACATTTTAGAAAAGTGAATCATAAGGAAATGGTCAAATTAGATTGTGATTATTAAATAGGACCATTTTTTCTATGGTAAGTGACTTTCTTTTCAAATTCCAGCACCCCCATTTTCTGATAGCAGCTGAAATCTCACAATTTTGGACAATTTTCACCAAAAGAACAACCAGTCTTCAGTGTGCCATATCACTGTAATGTCATAGAATATGAGTCACTTCTGAAATTTTTTCAGAGGTCCATATCTATGAAATAATGGCATATATTAACCTTAAATTGGATTATTGTAAAATATCTAAAGACAAAAAACCTATTCCAGCAACTATTTTTTAAATTATCTAATGCTAAGGATGGCTATCCGTATAGCCATCCTTAAGATCAAACACTTTTGAATAGAATTCTTTAAAGTTTAAATATTATGTTCTAAACAAGAATTGTTTAAAAACATAAAATTGGTAAATTGAGAATACAAGTAATGTGTACAACACTGACAAAAGTATACAGAATAAAATTAATTAATTAAAAATATAAATATAAATAAAATAAATAAATGCATAAATGAAATATTTTAGTCTTTGGTATCACTGTTCACTGCACTGAGAAGCTACTGATAAACAAGCAGCATCTTTTTGGTTAATGCACAAATTCTTAACACTGTGCTTATATCTGTATATTTTTTCTAGTTTTACCTGCTTGTTATCCCCTATTGTTTTTAAAAGCATAGCTTCAAAGCCACACTTTAAAAACAATAGGGAATCAATAATATTAACATGTGGAATCGATACCGTTATCAAGTGTTGCTAGTGAAGAATGATAACTTATTTGATACTAGTGTTAAGGTATAGAAGTAAAAATTAGATTACATGTATTTTTTTTTTTTTTTGTTTGTTTTTGAACAACATGACTAGTTTTATGAAATATCAAGTTACTGAGAGTCAAGTTTCTGGAATTCTACTGTACTGAAAATAAAAATATTCTCTCCATCAATCCTCAGCACCTAAGTATAAATTTGTGTGCTCCTTGGATTGCATGTTGTAACTAGGGGTTCTGTTTTTCCAAACTTTTTGGATTCTCAAGAATCAGTAAAAATTTTCTTAAAAAAATTGACCATTACTTTTTTGAATTCTTTGAATCTCAAAATTTAAAACACAAATTGATTATTTATAAAAGACTTGAATTAATTAGAAAAAAAAAGGATTCAGAAGAAAGCATACAAAGTAGGAGTAGAAGATAAGAGATTGTCACATATTTACTTTTACTTAATTTTTTAAATACAGTAGATTGTTGTTTATCCGAAAGTCGGTTATCCAAAATAATTCCAGTTAGCAAATTTAAATTTTCGCTAGTGCTGTGGCGCTGCAATCTTTGGCTATATCTTGGGCTACTCCAATATTTTTTTTTGTTGGTGTGTGTGCTTTAGCTGGTAGCACTGGCACTTTTATGTGGTGTTTTCCTGAGGACTATGTGTGGTGCTGAATCGAACATTTTTGATACTACATCAACTTCTAAAGTATATTTTTTGGTTTTTATATTTTTCAATATATTTATTTTGTTTGTACAAAATAAAGAAATAATTTTTAACGATACAATAGCCACGATTATTATTTTAAAAAGTTTACATTAGGCTTAACATCGACGAAAATTCAATGCAAAGCGACACGCAACGGAGAAAAATTTCAACACAGGATAGGTTAATATATTTTTTGTACATAATTGGTTATCCGAAAAATAAGTTATCCGAACAACCCCAGTCCCCAATTGATTCGGATAAACGACGCTCTACTGTATATTAAAATTAATTATATTTGTTTCTACATTTTCTAAATATTTTATTAAAATAACTTCTCAATACATGCAATCTATTGATTTTTTTGACAAATGGGTCCTTTCTTTTGACATGAAAATTCCAGAAAAGACAAAGTTTTTTTCATTTTGCATTGATGTTGGCTTTATGCTAAATAAGAGCATTTTTTGAATACTTTTATGTGAGGTGGATTCATAAATATTTATTTCCTCAGATAATGAACTGAAACCACTCTTAAGTCATTTTGAGTGGCACCAAGCTTTATAAAATCTTTCAATTCCTGAGACAAAATTCATACTTAAAAGTTTTTTCTTTATTCTTATCATTGTGTGTTGAAGTGGGCAGAACAGTATTATTTTTTCTCATTATTATACAATCTATTTGTTATATCCTTTTTTTGTTTTCAACATTGATAATTGTAAAATCAAAATATTGAGCAACTCTGAAAAATGTCCTGTCTTGCAGTATCTAGCCAAGATTTAAATCTTTATGCAAAAATAAACAAACATATCCATCTCATTAGTATGCAAATTTGCTTTTGTCCTAATAAATGGTAATGAGTGGTTAAATCATAAGTACAATGATAATACAATCACAGTTTAAAATTGTACCAACAGCTGTATTAATGACAATGATGTTTAACATTTTGTTTTGTTTATTATGTATCTAAAATTTCAAAAGTATATTACAAATTGAAGTTAAGTAATTAAGATTAAATTGTTGTATTCATAATTCTATTACAAGATCAAAAACAAAAGCCAACAACTGTAAAAGTAGTGTTACCACCTGTCCGGTTTTCACCCAGACAGTCCAGGAATCGACTCACTGTCCGGGTGAACAATCAATTTTTTCCGGGAATATCTTGCGCAACCCATCAACCTTTTTTTTTTTATTTTTTATTTTTTGCTTGTACGACTCGTATTTATACACATCTCCAATATCCAATAGAGCTAAGTCATCTGTAGTTGTTTTTTCTTGATTTAGTGTTACTCCTACCCAAGTCTCCCTAGTCCCTAACTGTAACTGATTTAGAACTGGCATGCACTGCATGTTATTCTTTGCATTGCAAAATGACATTGCACATGTGTCAGGAACTTCTGTTCGAACAAACCTCACCTGCCGTCCGGGTCAGCGATTTTGAAAAGGTGACAACACTATATAAAAGTATTAGTTTATACTTATTATTTTAAGCTTGTGTACCTTTCTAAAAGTTCTCCCTTTGTCCCTGTTGTTTTCTCCCCTAAATTGTTTAATTTTTTTCGTAATTCAGCAACTATTACATTCTTTAAGTCCATGTTTTTAAAAGTAAATTAAAACTTCTCATTCAGTTTCTACTGTTTACTCACTACTGAAAGTGAAGTATACATCAAGCTGACATTAGCACTGCAAGTGACAAGATTTAAACTGTGCACACCCCATAATCTGTTTATAAGAAGTTTTCTGAGATTCATTATATAAAGAATAAAGAACTGTCAGACACTTATCAGCTTTCATGCAGGAATATCTAGTAATATCAATTCAAGCTTACATACAGAAAATGAATGAAAGAGAAGTAAAGGCAAGTCACATGTCAATGCACATTTGGTGATTTTTGGAAAAATCACAATGGCATAAATTAGTGGTGCACAACCCATGGCTCTGGAGGTCGCAAGAAAATTTTTTGGAGTTGCCAAATTCAAAGAAATTTATTTAACAAAATATAAGGCTTTTCTTCAAGTATCAGGTACCAGTAAAATAGTGAAATAAAATTATATTATTTATAAAAACTATAAATTATTTATAAGAACTATATTTTTTATGAAAAAAATGTCTGTATTAGTAATTGATGTACACTCACTCAGCATTAATATATAAATCAAAAAACACAACACCTTAATTTGCTGAGAAAAAATTTAATGTAAAGCAAACGTTTTCAGCCAAATCAATTGGCCATCGTCAGGCTAAGAACATTCGAATATAAATAAAATAGAACAAAAATTTAANTGTGTTGTGACTATACTGTTGCACTGCAAGCTAAATATGCATGTGTCAACACTAATACAGACAAAAAAACACAACACCTTAATTTGCTGAGAAAAAATTTAATGTAAAGCAAACGTTTTCAGCCAAATCAGTTGGCCATCGTCAGGCTAAGAACATTTGAATATAAATAAAATAGAACAAAAATTTAAATACAAATAAAATAAAACGAGCGAAATATATATATATAATTGTATAAAGAATAGTAAAATAAATAAAAATTATTGTTACAAATAACAAAAAATGTATATGAAAAAATAAGCATAGGTTAATTAAATATTAAAACGTTATATAGAAATTCACTGAAATGCACTTTATGCAAAAAACATATTAAAATCGCCGCAATAAATTAAGAGTTGTCCAATCGTTTGATAAAGTATTTCCAGGCCGAAGGCAACCCTTCAGAATCTCTAGAATTGATGCATGAATCATGCAATTTGCAATTCTGAAGGGTTGCCTTCGGCCTGGAAATACTTTATCAAACGATTGGACAACTCTTAATTTATTGCGGCGATTTTAATATGTTTTTTGCATAAAGTGCATTTCAGTGAATTTCTATATAACGTTTTAATATTTAATTAACCTATGCTTATTTTTTCATATACATTTTTTGTTATTTGTAACAATAATTTTTATTTATTTTACTATTCTTTATACAATTATATATATATATTTCGCTCGTTTTATTTTATTTGTATTTAAATTTTTGTTCTATTTTATTTATATTCAAATGTTCTTAGCCTGACGATGGCCAACTGATTTGGCTGAAAACGTTTGCTTTACATTAAATTTTTTCTCAGCAAATTAAGGTGTTGTGTTTTTTGGTCTGTATTAGTGTTGACACATGCATATTTAGCTTGCAGTGCAACAGTATAGTCACAACACAGTAAACATCTACTGTCTATCCATGGTCACTACAAAAAACGTCTACTGTCTCTCCAGGGGTCGTGACAAAATTTTACACAAAATGGAGGGGGATTGGAAATGAAAATAGTTTGTGCACCACTAGCATAAATATCTGCAGCTTACAAAAGACATCTCACATTTTCTGGAAATGCTCTTTGCAAGTTTAGATGAAAGAAAAAGCTGTTTGACAAGTTCATAATTGCAAAATAAAACTGAGAGAAAACCCACATTGTCACAATAACATATACTTTCAAACTGACTTTTAAACACAGAGTACCCATAGGTTATTCACATAAAAATTACTGTATTCCTGGTAATGTAGTTTGAACTATAAATTCTTAAACTGTATAAAAATGACCAACTAAAAACATGGCATTTCATATAATCATAACATAAAATTTATATTGGTTATAAAAGCAGAAAATTATAAAGTTCTACAAACTCTATCTAATGCAAAAAAATTACATGACTTCCAGTTCAGACTGGAAGTTCATATTTAGTTCATCAATTCATCAGTTTCTGGTCCATAAACTTTCAATATCTGGTCTTGATTTTCATCTAGTTCTATTCTTGAGATTAAGGAAAGGCAGACAGACAACAATGAGAATCTATAGGTCTGCAATTTGAAAATAGCTGCCCAATTAAGCATTGCTATTGAAATTGATCTTAAGAAAACCTGTGCAACTATTATAAGAGATTATCTCATCCAATATGTTCAATAGGCAAACAGTGTTTAAGGTTTAAAAAGCTAAAGATAATTTATTAAAAATTTAAATTCATTAATTTTATCATTCTTGTTGTGTTATTAAGCTCTATTAAAGATACAACAATGGAACATAACAGTTCTGAAATCATTGAATCTTAACCCATTGGAGAGCTTGCCGGTGGGAAATTTCTGCACAATTCTGATAATGTCTTTTTGTTTACAGCAGGGGTGTCCAACCTTTTTGTTTCTCTGGGCCGCATTGGAAGAAGTCAAGGAGTTTTGGGCCACAAGCAGTAGCGTAGCGTAAAGGGGCGGCCCGCCCCGAGCGGTACTTTTTAGGGGGAGGCAAAATTTGACAATAAATAATAATAATAATATCTTGTAAGAATTTGAACCATTTTATTTCATATTTTCGTGTACCTATGACTCGGACCTATTGAAATGAGCACGGCAATAGTGTTACCATCCATCCGGATAGTCCGCGAATCGACTCGCCGTCCGAGGATATCATGCGCAACCTGTTGACCTTTTTTTTATTTTTGTTTTTTTGTTTTTTTTTCTTTGCTTGTACGATTTATTCGTATATATATATAATAATATCTTGTAAGAATTTGAACCATTTTATTTCATATTTTCGTGCACCTACGACTCGGACCTATTGAAATGAGCATGGCAATAGTGTTACCATCCATCCGGATAGTCCGCGAATCGACTCGCCGTCCGAGGATATCGTGCGCGACCTGTTGACCTTTTTTTATTTTTGTTTTTTTGTTTTTTTTCTTTGCTTGTACGATTTATTCGTATATATATACACCTTCAATATCCAATAGAGCTAGGTCACTTGCGTTATTCTTATCCAAGTCTCTCTAGTCGCTAACTGTAACTGATTTAGAACCAGCATGCACTGCAAATTATTCTTCGCATTGCAAAATGACATACGCATGCGTCAGGAACTTCTGTTCGAACAAACTTCACCCGCCGTCCGGGTCGGCGATTTTAAAAAAGTGGCAACCCCTAGCACGGAATTTTTCATCACTTATTCTGTGAGGAAACTGAATTTTAGTCTTTTAAATTGAGATACCTAAATAAGGGGACGGCGAAATTTTCCTTTTCCCCGGGCGGCTGACACCCACGCTACGCCACTGGCCACAAGTACAGTACATATATACTTGTGGTCCAATATACAAGTATATTTAAGGATTAACATGTCTAGATTATAATAATAAGTATTAAAACTTTATCAAGAAAAAGGATATTTTAAAAATTACTTCTACAGACACTTTCAATTTTTACTTAGAAATAGATAAATTCATTTATTATAAAAGAGACAAACGGAAATTTATTTGAAAGACACAGACGTTTGTTATATTTGGGTCTCTAATTAATAAAAAGCAACGAAACACCATTTTAAAGTGCATTTTTATTCAACTAATATAAATAATAGGTAGCCCAAAAAGTAGCCAAAGCGCCAAATGATATTTTTTGCATCGAACAAAAAAAGTAGCCACATTTGGCGCAATGTAGCCAAATCTTGCAACGTTGGAAAAAATAGTAAATAATACTGGAGTTGTGAATCAAAGGATTATAGACCCAAGTGCAGGGAAAGGAGAGAAAGGACAAAAGATAAAAAAGTGAGAAAGGTTGGAAAATTAAGGGTCAACAGAAGATCTATTTAACCTTTCTCACTACTACATCTTTTGTTTTTTCTCATCTTTCCCTCCTTTTCCCAAATTTGGGTCTATAATCCTTTGAGTCACAACTCCAGCTTTATTTAGTAATCCTTCCTCATTCACACATTTCCAAGTATTTGAAAATATTTCCTTTCCACTCAAGAATAAAATATGAATAAAGGTTTACCGCTTTGTGAAACTTCTTTTTTGAGTTTATGCCGTTGAAATAAATAAATAATAAAAAAATTAAAACATTTTGTCGGTTTTGTTTACACGTTTATTGGGCCGCATTGGAACTTGCCTTGGGCCGCATGCGGCCCGCGGGCCGCGGGTTGGACACCCCTGGTTTACAGGTTTCTTACTCAAATTTTTGTTTTAAATTCGAACTTTCCCTGATCTCCCCTGACCAACTCTCTACAAATTCTCTGATCCTCACATCCCTTACAGTATGGCACACTGATAAAATAAAACAGCATTTGACTTACTCTGTACATATGCTATTGCTTCTCAACTTTTTAATTAGTTATTTTTTCTAATTAACAGTTATATATTTTAAAAAATTGCCAAATTATTAAAACTAAAAGTAAAACGTTTTATTAAATTAAAATAGTTTATTCTGTTATTAATCCATAACTATAAATCTACATGGCTTTGAAAAGAAGAAAAAAGTAATTTTTCATTTAAAAAATTTTAAATTTGTTGTTCATTGTTTATTGTTCATTAACAAATCTTGTATAATCCACATACAAAGTATATATTTAACAACCAATTATTTATTGTGACTTTATTACAATGCCAAGCTGTAATTTTTAATTATATTCTTACTTTATTTAATTTAAAAAATATATTTTCTGTCTCAAATAATTAGTGTCTTGCCTTGTACTGTATATCATACTTTTCCTGATAACAACAGTCATTCTGGTCATCCATTCAGGAAAAATTTTTTAAATTGAATTCACGTGACTTCTGATCTAGATCAGAATTTCATATATTATATACAGTGGGTAATCAGTTAACAAACAGTTTGGACTGCAAACAAATCAGAAAACAAACACTTTCGTGAAAGATTTTTATGTTTGGACAACAAACACCTCACAGAACAAACACAAGAAAAAGCGATATAAAATAGTGAATACTGATTGGTCTTCCCTTTGTCTCCAGGTGACAATTTGAAACCTTTCAGAGCTCGGGAGACATTGACATTGATGCTCAACCCAATACTGATCGAATAGTATTCCTCCAAACTTTAAAACTCTCCCTTGTAATTCCAGCCTTTTGTTTACCTTTTTGACAGAAATAATTTTTTATAGTCTTTGCAATGCAAGACTGTTAGGCACATGTTAAATTTTGCATTGGTTTTTATTCTCGAAAGGGGAGAGTTTAACTGTCCCATCAGATATTTGTTAACGTTTTAACACCAAATTTTAAATTCTGTCCGAGCCTCACATTTACATATTGTTTTGGTGTGCTAATTGATTTCTGTCCTCTGAATTATGTAAGTGCTTTTCT